TAAGCTTTCCAGCTGCATTTACAGTAGAAGAGACCACGCCCAAGTGGACTGGTATCTTAAATGCTATTGGCTGAAGGAGTAAAATGTCCCACCTCAGGGATGTTTTTCACAATGACATATACAGCTATGGCTTGCACTTTACACTAGATACTGCATGCCTGGATATTCATGATCCTAATGGGTTAAATATCATTTCCAGAAGTCCACTGGTTTAAGCTGAGCTAATGCACCAGGAGCAGGCAATAAACCACACAAGATAGAATCAATTCATGCTGAAGTTCTAAGCCACTAAGTTGAAACCAAGTTATTGGACCTCCCAAGAGAGCAAGAGACAGATAACAGCCACATCCACAAAAGGCCAACTTTAGCCAACATTATAATTAGCCACAATTATAAGCAGTGGTTCTCAACCTGTGGGTCACCACCCTTTGAGGGTGTCACATATCAGATACCCTGCATATTAGGTATTTATATTATGATTCATAACAGTAGCAAAAATACACTTATGAAGTAACAATGAAATAATTTTATGGTTGGGGGTCACCACACCATGAGGAACTGTATTAAAGGGCCACAGCATTAGGAAGGTTGAGAACCCCTGATCTAAAGCTTACTAGGAAATGACCAATACATTTTTTTGGGGGGTTGTCTTCTGTGTTCTCTTGTCCTTAGCCCTTTTGTCAGTAAGGCCACACCCTAACTCAGCTCATCAGGACTTTACAGGATTCTAGAATCACAAATAAAAGCCAATTGAGATATTTAAACTAAATTTTCTTTCTCTGACTGTCGCATTAGTGCAGCACAGCTATGTAGTGGGACAGACAGGTGCTCTGGCGTCAGTGAGAGGGACTCTCTGGTGTTTGGTTTCTCACACCCCAACTCGCTCTTGAGGAGAAGCACTTCTCACTACATTTCGACTTGGGCAGAATAATTTCTCTAGTAGCAACACAGTAAATTGGAAAATGGAGAGTAGAAAGGATGGATGGCAAGAGAAGTCAAGAGAGGTATAAATTTTGCAATGATGGGTGAGGGGAAAACCTCCAGTGTGAATTCTGCTGTGCTCGTACACAAGTATCCTCTGGAGAGGCAGAAGAATGACCTCATAACTGCTGGCCAAGACACGTGTGCTCCACATGCCTTCTCTCCAGTGCTCAGATCTGCAGCGGTCGAAGGCCAGGACCGCAGGTCTCCAACGCCCTTTGCAGCCCCAACAGAAAGTTTCCTTGCTCATGCTACCATCTGGACTCCTGCGAGGCTTGGCCATTGGCTGTCATGAGTGTGCTCTCGGTCTGTGGTAGGCATCACAAGGGCACAAGGACAAGATGTCATCCATGCTCTCAAATGGAAAGGCAAAGTCAGCAATGCTCATTGAAGGCCAAATCTGCGTGCCTTAAAAACATCAGTTCTGTGTGTGCTGCTTTCCTGCATGGAGAGCCCTTCTTCCTCCAGTCACTGCCCCTCCTGCCCACGCTGGGAAGTCAGACACTACTAAGGCAAGAACCCCACAAGGGCTGGAGAGATGGCTCGGGGGGTAAGAGCCATTGCTGTTCTTGCAAAGGGCCTGGTTTGCTTTCCAGCACTGATATGGCGGCTCACAGCCTCTGATACAATGTCCCAGAGTACCCAATGTCCCTTTCGGTCTCCGCAGACACCAATTATACATGTGGTACACAGACACACATGCAGGGGAAACACTCACACACATAAAATAAAAACAAACAAATCTTTAAAGAGAAAAATAACCTTTCATCAGCATTTTTATAACCGTACTTGCCTGCTGATTTTTTAAAGGACACGTTTTTCTGTTTCTGGGCTCAAACTGTAAATACTCACTCTGACCTACACCTGTGCCTTGCCAAAGGCCCAAAACAATGGGCTACCCTATCTTGAATTTGAGTCTTCATAATCAAGAGCCAAACAAATGGAAGGTGTGGAGACGAGGAATTTCACTATCTATTTTCTCAGGCGAAGATGAAAAGTTCTTAGCAAAGAGCTGGCACGAGAGAAATGGGGAACAATTAGATTGTCCTTCTGTGACTGTCCCCTGACTTGAATTCCTCCCATAAGAAATAGGTGAAGCACGCTTGTCTTTTTCAAACACCGTTTCATGCATTCGCCCATTTTCCTGCTATGTATAGTTCACTGGCCCAGCTGCTATGCAATCAATGCTTTGTCATTAAACAAATATTTGCTGAATGATTAGCCAGGGAATAGTAATGAAGGTCCCAATTAGACCCAATCATTTCCTCAAACATATGGTAAGAAGAGGATCTGCTCGGGAGCAGAAAGGGTGAGCAAGCTCCCAGAAACAAGTGCTCTGCCCCAGAGACCCTCCCATCCAACTCACTAACAAATGAGCCCTATCTACTCAGAGCAAATCCTAAAGCCGGCTGGTCAGGATTATAAATGTCTCCCTAGCGCCCATGAGCTTCCAAACACTCTCTCTGCTCCTGTTCAAAACACTTGTAGCAGTACAGGGAAGTCTGCTCCTGCCATGACTCAGAGTGGTGAGCGCGGCCCTCTGCCAGCCCACAACCACACAGCTCAGAACACAGAAGCCAGCCCTAGCTTCTCAGCAGGGAACTCCCCTCACTGTCACAGGTCAACTCCAGATTGTCCCTTCACTGATACAATCTCGCTGAAGGAATGACTTAGCCCCAGGGCCAAAAGAGGAGACCCCCAGTTTCCATGGAGACCCCCCCTACCTCTCATTTTCCCGATTCATGTCCATAGACTTTGATGACTCTGCTTCTCCTTCCAGAAGTTAAGATTTGCTTTTGGTTTTCCTTTCAGAGAAGGACTGTCTCTTCATGCAAGACCCTTTTTGGAAATGGTAACCCTCATACAGAAACAGGCTACGTCAGTATGTACCTGTATGTACAACTCATAGGAAACTCTGGGGCACAAGAGGCCAAACATGTGAGTCAGCTGGAAGCTAATCTTTCCGTTCAGCACACTTAAAATACAAGAATCTTCTAGAATGAGTCTATACGCTGCCATTAGAGAACTCTTACAGACTCCACTTAGAAACCTACGGGGAGTTTTACGGTGTTTGGGTCCTGACATGACCTCCCTTCAGCTTTTCAGCTCCACAGCACACATTCTTTCTCCCTACTGCCCTGACCAGATGTGTTGACATCATTAAAATAGTGTTAAGGGCCGCTCATGTGGATGATGGGACCAAGAGGCATGTGGGCAAGTATAAACTGGAGGTAGGGGAAAAAGCTGTAAGTGCTGTTAAAAATTGTTTTCGAAAACTACACGCTGTTCCATGCGACCACTTCAGTAATGGCTTTGCCAGCTGCTCAGGGGAGGGGGTGACTAAGTCTGAGAGTTGGCAGGGATAGACAGAAGCACTATTTACACACAGTTGAGCTTCTTAAGAACCACCAACCCCACAGAAGGGGGAATTTGCCCGTCTCTAGAAATGCCCGTTCCCTGAGATGCTTACAGTTCTCATCCATGGTTACTTCAGATGACCAGCTTTGTGGTACTCTGCCTGGCACCACAAACCAGGGAACAGTCCACAGACAAGTAGCAAAATCAGAAGCCAGTTCCTATCCATCACCGTGCCACTCCTGCCCCACAGACAGTCATAACTTGGGTTAGGCAGATGGTGCCACAGCAGAGAATCTTTAAGCTGCAGAGAGGAAGTTCTGAACTTACTGTTTAAGCACTCAGTATATAATCACCATTATTACCATGTCCCCTGAGCTTTAGGTCTTAAGTATTTAAATACTTTAGCATTGTAAAGTTTAGCATTTAGGTAATACAACACACCTTAAAAATCTCTATACATTTTGTAGTTTTTCTAATCCTGTTACCCCTTAGGCTGTAATTAAATGAACGGTGGGTCCCACAATTGGTATTTTAGAATCAAAGAAACATGGTCTTAATGTCCAAGACAGTGACTGGAGCACCGAGCAAGGGACAACGACATATCACGGGCCTATGTTTAGTTTGGGTTTGTGGGATTAAAGGCTAAGGATAAGCGAGGCCAGACCCAAGGGGAAGGCTGATAATGATGTGGACAGGAAGTTTAGGAGCTAGAGGCAGCACCTGGATTGGAAATGGGCAAACAGGAAAGCATCCAATTCAAAGACAGGAATGAGAAAGGAAATGTGTGTGCCGGCTATGCAACTAGCCATGGAAGTGGAGAAAGGTGGTGGGGGCGGTAGAATGAGCATCAGCTTTCTTTTCTCCACTGTGCCACAGCGACAGCTAGAGAAGTGGCAAGACGGGGTCCCTGCACAAGGAAGGGTACCGCCACAAAGCTGGACTGGAGTAAGTCCCAGGGAAGAAAGAACACAGGGACAAGGAAAATGCTCATAGCTTAGAGACAGACTTGACAGAGGACAACCCAGGAGAAGAGGACTGGGGGTTGCGAGCCCAGGAGAATTTGAAGGCTATAAATTGGGGGGAGGGGATGGGCCAGGGAAGCCGCGAGAGGAGGGGGACAGGCTAGCGGGACAGCTCGCGGGACCTGCCCAGGTGGGTCGGGAGAGGCCTCCACTTCTCACCCCGCACGTCGTTGGCTAGCTCCTTCCACGTCGGGGCGAAGGCGATGCAGTGGCCACACCAGGAGGCGAAGAACTCCACAGCCCAGGCGCTGCTGGAGCCGAGCACGGTCTGGCGCACCGTGTTCGCATCCAGCAGCGTCAGCGAGTCTGCGGACGAGTAGAGCACGGAGAGCCGGGCCGCGCCAGCGCCGGACAGCGCGAGCAGCAGCGGCGTTAGCAGCAGCAGCAGCTGCGACGGCGACCCCGAGTGGCGGCCGCACCTCCTCATCCTATGCGGCTGGAACGTCCACCTCGCTCGAGTTTGTGACCAGTCGGTACCCGGAGGCCGCCGCGAACCTCGGGCCTCCGCCCGCGAGGAGGAGCTACGAGGCTCCGCCCCCAGGCCGGCGCCGCCTCCCGGGCCGCCCCTGCGCGCCTCGGGCTCAGGAGAGGCGGTGCGTAAGCTGCCACTAGCCAGCCGAAGTCCCCGTGTAGGTCGGCGCCCGCCGCTCCCGCCCACAGCGATCTAAGCCCCGCGCTGGGTCGGCAGACGGGTGCGGGGAGCCTCATGCCGCGGCTCGGGGTCGCTGCGGGGGCTGGGGTGGCGTTTGGCCACTCTCGGCCCCCGTATCCGAAGGAAGCGGAGTCCGTTGGCATGGTCGTTACTGGTTTATCTTGTTCCTGGAAAGTTCCAGGGGTTCCCTCACGCAGTTTTGACAGTGGGAATTCGAAGTAGGTGGGAGAAAAGAGCCACGAGGTAGGAGATTGTGATTGCCAAGGCCCACAGGAGCCAGAAGGACGCTCGCCACTGGGGGCCAGTGGCCATTCAGTGTAGGGAGCTATTGCTTGAGGGTTTTCTACCCACAGTTGGCTGGGCTCCCTTGCCGCGGAAGCGAAGTTTCTTTAGAGTTCACATCCCACCGCCTTCGAAGTTGTTGAGATGATACCACCAGGGAGGGGCTCCCCACGGCCCAGACCCTGCATCTGCCTCCCTTAAGCATATTCAGAATTCAGACAGTCCCATACCCCGACGTCCTCTCAAGCCATCTGGTCAACTGACCCTGTGTTCTCTGTATGGAGGTGGTAATGGGCTTTCTGTACCTTTTGTACCTCGGGTGTCTTGTGCGATATCTTGATGGGAGGAGGTGGTCATCAGAGGATTGTCACTCTGACCGGTTTCTTTTGTGTCTCTGGATGAGCCCCTCCCTGTGACCCCTTGGGGGAGCTCTTGAGATTCGTTACTCATTTTCTTCGCGAGAAACTGAGTGATGTCTTGGTGCCAGTCATGCACCAAATATTAAGAATAAAGTGATAAAAGACTGAGGGGTGTGGACCTTCCACTGGGGATAAAGGATGATACACAAGCAAATGTAGATTGGCTGATGCCAAGCACTATGGGGAAACAGGGTTATGATAGGGTAACAAAGGAGGTGCTCTCTTGGACGGTGGTCAGGGACAGGTACATTTTGGGTTTTGCGGGGACTGAGTCAATAATACCACTGAAGACCACATATAGGTTTGTATACACTTAAACAATGACAAACCACTGAGTTGGGTGAGGCGTGCCCAGTCCTAGCTATTCTGCAGACTGAGGTGGAATAACAGGAGTGCCAACCCCAACTTGGGCTACACAGTGTCTCAAAAAAACCCCAAACAACCAAATTGTTTTATAAAATTCCTACCCTTTTATCTAGTCAGGTATACCTTCATAATACTTCGGAAGGCTAATTAATTTCTTTCTCTGGAGTTCTTGAGCTCTGCTGAGATGTTTGCTCAGATGTGTTGGCTTTGAGGATAACTGGTTCCTGGTGTTTCTGCTGTTTGCACGCCACTGTGTTCCATTGTGAGTACAACTGTAACAGCTTTCTTCGTGTATCTGAACTTCGTACACTCTTCTACAAACTGAAGGGCCTTGACTCTTCAGAAAGAGAAACCTTGGGAAAGGAGCATTGCAGTCTGTGCACCTTTAGAGCAAAGAAAGTGTTTTAGAGTCTCTGGTATTCAAAGCATAATTTTTAAGTCTCCAAGAAGCAGGAGCGCTGAGTGGTGCACATGGTTTGTTGTTGTCATTTTGTTTTGTTTTGAGACGGGGTCTCTCTGTTTTGTAGTCCTGGTTGTCCTGGAACTCTCGCTGTAGACCAGGCTTGACTTGAATTCACAGGGATCCGTCTACCTTTGCCTGCCAAATGTTGGGGTTAAAGGTGTATGTTATCACCACTACCCCTGGCACACATGAGCTCCTTGCTCTGTGGAAATGAGGTAGCTGAAAGAAGACGGCACCAGGGATGGGCTTGGGGTGCCCTGATTTTAAGGAAGTTCTTACAAGGAAACATTTGAACAAAGGATTAGAATGATGTTTGGGAGGGAGCTTTGTGACAGTCTGAGGTCAGATCGTTCCAGGCAGAGGTCCAGCAGTTGGGACTTTTGCTTCCTTGAAGTATTAATATTCCTTGTGTCTAACAATTGAAACTCACAAGGAAATTCTATCAGCAGTTGGTGGGAGGTGAGCTCCTCTCTAACCCTAAGCCAGTTCATGTGTTGCTAGTCACTTTCCCTGGGCTTCAGTCCTGCCCAGCTTTGGTGGCCCCACTTCCACCCATCCTGGCAGCTCCTGGTCTTAAGGTGTCTTTTAGGAATTTTGAATTCCAGGGAATGAAAGTTCTGTAGCTGGGTCAGGTGCCAGTAAAATGTGCTTAGATGTCTCCACTGTTAAAAGTGTATGGTTACTTCCCCAGAAGCATGAGGATTAAAGAGACATTGTGTGGGGGCCAGTCTAGTGCCTGGAAAAGAAAGGGAAGAGAGAAACACAAAGATTGGCTTGTTTCCATATCTTAGAGAATCAGAAATGGGAAAGAATACAAAGTTTTTGAATAACGTAGAGAAAGTTTCTTGGCAGAGAGGCCGAAAAGATTAGGACTGGGGGTTATAATGTCTGAGATTTCAATTTTTTAATCTTGGAAGCCCTTATTCAGTTTTGAGAGAAAGCTTACGCAGGTAACACACAGAATCACCTAGAGTAGTTCCTACTTTCTGTGGTCTCTGGGGTTTCTTGGGAACTGTTGGTCCACAGTTAGCAGAAAATAGGAACCACTGGTGCATGACTCAGCTGGTCAAGGTGATTGCTGTCAAGCCTGCCTGCCTACCTGAGTTTAGTGCCTGGTCCCCATATACTGTCACTAGAGACCCAACTTTCTTTTTTTTTTTAATTGATGTTTATTGAGCTCTACATTTTTCTCTGCTTCCCTCCCTACCTCTCCCCTCTCCCTTCAATCCTCCCCTAAGGTCCCCAGAGACCCAACTTTCTACAAGTTGACCTCTGACCTCCACTCCTTCACTGTGGTACCCACAAATAAATAACAATATGTCACCTCTGAGATTACTGTGCTTCCTAAGATGAACAAGTGACAGAAAAGGAAATCTTTCAGAAATGAGAAGTGGAGAGTGGATGGGGTGCTGTGGAAACCATTGAGAATTGGGGGAGGGGTAGAAATTTCTAGGCAGGTCCCCACTTCTCCCTCTTCACAAATCTTAGTAGAATAGGCTGAGCTGACTCAGCTGAGAATACAGACAACATTTTGCACCTGTCATTCTAAGCACTGCCTCTATTATTCATTTGATCCTCTTTCTAACTGTGAGGTTGATACGGCCCCATTTTACAGTTGAGACTAAGAAGGGACCATGTTGACTTTCCTACCTATGAGTCATTCCTGTATTATGCATGAATTAAAGAGGGAATTTGGAGATCTAATAAGGTAGATGGTGAGAAGAATGGAGCTTATCCGCAAAACCAGATAATTATGGTGAGCAACCAAGGAGTGTTTGGTCAAACATGTCACCAGGTAACAGCATTAGGTGACTGTCTACTTACTCATCAGCAGGAAGGATCAGAGGGTGTGTGCGCTAGGAGGGAGTGACAGCTACAGATAAGGCACACGTGTTTCGTCCCTTGAAACTTACCCATAAGTCCTCCAGATGAACTTTGGGTGTTAGTAAGTCTTTTCTTTTGCTGGTAACATAGGACCACATGCTGAGTAGATTCTAAATTAAAAGGAAGGCATTTTGTTTTGAGGATTCTGAAGGTCCACCTCTGGTCATGGCCTTCCTGCTGGCAGGATGCAGTAAGAGACAGGGCACTGGTGTGCATCTTGTCTCCTTCCCCGCGGGTTTGGAGGTGCAGGAGGAGAGCAGGGCCTTGTGCTTGGTGTTCTCCTGCAGGGCTGCAAACCCAGCCCTTAATTTTTCAAGACTACAGCCTTGACTGTCTAGAGAGATTCCTGTTTCTGGCCCTTCCCTCCCTTGGGTGCTGGGGCTATAGTCATTCACCACCTCACTCAGTTCTCCTGCTTGTCAACTCAGAAGCCAATCATGCCTCCACCATGATGACCTCACCTGATCCAGACCACTTCTCACAGCCTCACCTTTTCACGCCACAGTTGGATTGCCGTTCCCTCTTGTTTTGTCTCACTGCTCTTAGTCTGCTTCAGCCTTCTGAGTGATTCTATACAAGCATGTGCCACCCACCGTACCAGGCTAAGTTTCTGCCCTTTTAGTACTTCGCAGTGGGCACTAGATTTCATCACAGGAAACACTGGGGGTATATATACTCAAACTATATTCAAATTATTGCACTTTCCACAACTGGAGGCATTTGGAATTCTATTCTGAAAGTCTCAAAAGAAGTAACGAGTTCATGGCAGCAAAGAGAAGGTACATTCCAAACCATTGCATTAGTTTCTTATTGCAATGACAAAGACAACACTAAGGAAGGAAGGAAAGAAGGAAGGAAGGAAGGAAGGAAGCAAGCAAGCAAGCAAGGAAGGAAGGAAAAAAGGAAAGGTTATTCCAGACAAGCTGCTCACACACTTTTCTGTGGACACAGCAGGTTGACCAGATGTCTGGCTGGATTTAGCCACTCATTCTTTTTTTCTTCCTGGATGTGGGTTGAACAGATGTCCTAGCTGGCTGGACTCTTTTTTTTTTTAAATGCATTGTATATACACAGGTCGACCAGTTGGCCATCATTTTATGGACAACAGAGATTGACCAGTTGGTTCTGTGGATGTGGGTTGACCAGTTGGTAGCTCACAGTTTTAGGATACAGTCATGATGGGAAGATGTGGCAACAGAAAGCTTAGGCAGAGGTCACGTTTTATCTTCAGTCAAAAAGTAAGAAGAAATGAATGTTCATGCCCACCTCCTTCCCTCCCACTTTTCTTCATTCATTCAGTCAAAGATCCATCCTGTGGGGAGGGTGCTCTCACATTCAGGATGGGTCTTCCATCCTCAGTTAAACCTCTGTGAAAATGTCCCTACATATACCCAATGGTATGCCTCCTAGCTAGTTCTAAAGCCAGTCGACTTGACAGTCTTAGCCATCACACTTCTTGAACAGACTTATGCGAAGGACTTTACAGAGGCATAGGCATGCTAAGAGAGCTAACTTAGAGACTAGCCATAACTAAGAGTCCTTTGAGCACTCCTAAAGCAGAGGGAAGAGAGGAAAGGTTCTTAATGAGGAAAACTAACAAGGGCTAGAGTCCAGCAAGAGAGGCTACCCAACTGGAATTGTAACCACAAAATGCCACTGTGGCTAGAATTAGGAGGAAGCTGGAGAGGGCTCCAGAAAAGTATAATGTTCAACCCTTTCTTCTTCAGTCTGTACTCTCTGGCCAACCAATCAGAAAGCAAAGAGGGTGCTTGGCTTATGTAGTCCCCAGGGGCCAGCTTTCAGGGTGAGGCAGTAGAGGAGGGCAGGGG